TGTCTCAGAGAAGAGTAGACCATTAGAGGAATCCGAAATTTTTGCAGTTCTAATGTATCATCAAGTAATAGGTTAGGTGAAATAGACAAAATGCAGCAATCTCCTCTCAAATTGTTGTTCTAAACTAAACCAGTTTCCTTGTGATATCGGATTCTTATAGGCAACCTAAGCGTCACAAATGTGTGACAACAGGAGGGAGTGCTCTTAAAATCAGTTGTAAAAGGCAATGCTAGGAGTGACAAACTGCTTGAAGGGAGTACCGAAGAAGTCAATTTTATAATCATAACAAGATTTACCCTGCTTGGGATTGGAACGAATTAAACTCATGCCTCAGCTTCCTGCAATCGCAATTACTACGTCCTAACGACAGTAGTGTGTTTATTGTCGAGTAATTTATGTTGGTTCAGACTGCAAATTATTCTGACAAAAAGAGCGATTGTAAACTGCTTGGAAAAGTCCGTTGATGAAAACAATGTATATCGGCATCATTTATGCCTGCCTGAGGCGCCAATTTTCTTGCTTGTGCCTAACGTCACAATTATGTGACGCGCCCTCTACTGCCTTATAATTATAGATTATATCATAACATCCCAGAATCAGATTTGAAGTCTTCGGCAATTCAGTAAATGAAGGGTTTTCTTAGTTTGGAAGGGTAATTGCTTTTAACTAACGTCAGGTGTGCCGGTAATGCAGGTGTTGGTGGCACTATGGAAGAGAAAAGACCCGACCTGATTCTGAGACCCTAACAGCGAAAGTATTGGATCCCACCTTATGGGAATGATCAAATGCTGGTTTACATTTCTGAGAATAACATAGTCATTAATGTTCTAACCACTTTAAATGCTACTTAAATGTTTATAAGTACAACTCCTATTAAATAGGGATATCCAGCGCTTAATCTAAGATCTTAAACAGGAATGGATGTTACTAGTGCTATTTTTTAAATAAAATTCTTTAACAAAACTTAATTAAGTAATTATGCGTGTAAAATTGTGCTAATGGGAAAAATGGGTAATGATTTGGAATCCAGCGCGCTCTGTAACTACTTCTATCTAGCAAGTCGAATGTTCTGTCAGTTCAGTTAATGTCTTAATGGAATTTAAGTTTACTGTAATGCCCATAGATTGCTCGGATCTTTGTCACTCCTAATTCTACTATTAAAACCAAGATAAATCGCCTCGTCAAAGTCATTTCTAAGTTAATTCACAACATTTAAAGTTTTCGATTCGGTAAAGTGGATACAGAGGACCTCAATATGGAATTAATAGGCAAACAAAATAACAAACTAAAGCATTATAGGCAGCTTTATTGGCAAATAAAGTGAATTATTCGAACTTGCGTTTGCTTACTTATTTTTCTGAAATAAATAAATTTTCTTGAATTCGGTAAACCTACATAAGTATCTTGCAGATTTGTTTGTGTGTTTAAAATAAGTATTTTTTGAAGTATCGTAATTGAGATGTTGTTGATTTATCCAAACTAAACGCATTTATATCCGGTTTTTATGGCTAGATTATGAAAACTTTTTGAATAGGAGCCGATTCCAGATCGTTTTTGTATTTTTACTGAAATAATATAAGTAACACTTTAGAGTACTAAATGTTCTTATTTTTGCTACTATTGGAAAATTGGTATAACGTAATAAATTCCTAACATCACCATGCAATAGCCGTTAAATTCGCAATTGTCCATTAATGTTCTAACTACCTTAAATACTACTTAATTGTTTATAAGTAAAATTGCTTTTAAATAGGAATATCCAGCGCTTAATCCAAGATCATAAACAGGAATGGATGTTACTAGTGCTATTTTTTAAATAAAATTCTTCAACAATTTACTCACTGACACATATTATCTATGTGTAAAATATGCACACTGTTTATTTCTAGCGGAAGTGGCTGCACCAAATCAAGTGTCGGAAACAGATAGTTTGGGTTTTTTTGCAATCAGTTAAAAAAAAGGAGCGGATAGTTACATTTTGTGGCATTGGATCAGCATCAATTCAAGAAGACATTATTTGCGAGCTGTAGTGGTTAATTTTTTTTCTGTTACCCTAACACTAACCCTTATAGGCTGATGGATTCGGCCTTCGCTGCTAAAAATTTGTTTATCAACTCTGTTCAAGCATGCTTGAAACAATCTGTAACATATAATGACCAATGCGCAGTTAGAATATTGCCAACCGTGGTTTGAGCACTCACGCAAGTTAGAGTGAAAAGTCACACAAAAAGCAAACAAGTTGTCTCAAAACGTGTTAAGGGATGATGCTTCAAAAAATCCCCTTTCCTTCTCTTCCTCCCCCTGCTGCCCCCTTTCTTCCATTCCCAGCTCTGCAGTTGAGAGGAGGAACTCTTGAGTGACCATCTGCTGCTTCTGTTGTGCCCCATTTCCAGACTTTTTGAAAGTGGCAGGATTAGCGGCGGCAGCATGAGTGATTGATGCTGGAAAAGAGATAAGACCACTGGGTCCCACTTGCATGCGTGGAAATGGCTCTTGTAGATGCCTGCTTCCTTTCAGATGGCATTTTTGCATCTCCTTTACATAACTAGACTGATTAATTTGTAAGAAAATTTAGTCAGTTAATAATCGGACCTATGTCTGGTTTAAAAAGATAGCCATTTCGGCAAAATTTTGATCCCTTAGATTTGAAGCCCTCCTATCGCGGTAGTATCTACGTTACTGATACTCCTCTGAGGTCATTGGGTCAGCAGGATCCAGACAATGGTAGTGTATATGAGACGAATCCGTACTACCCACCTTACGGATATGTACAGAGGATTTTGACTGGGGTATGGCACAGCTGGAAGACGCTCAGCCGCTCGCGATAAGGCAGTTGGATAGTGTCAATTTTGGAATGGCATGGGTCCACGCCAGGTGGGTCCTGGTGATTTCCAGCTCACAGCGCAAGAGTAAGTGGAACGTTAATAAATAATTATCTAGTACGAATGAGTGGACTAATGTTCCCGAGGTCAAGGCAAACAGATGGATAAAGTTTTCACCTCTTTCCTTAGAGAAGATCAAAAAGTCTTAATTTGACTTAAACCAACCTCGTAGGTGGACAGATATGTGGGTGAATAGGCAGGAAGATAGGTAGATGCGTTTGTAAAGAGTTAGGTGGGTAAAATGGTTCGATTAGGAGGATGAAACATGAACACTTTTGCAATGAAAATCATCAATCCTTTTCGTTATCTTGCCGACAAAAACAGAGGCACGAACCGTCTACGTTGGTCATCATAACACACTCGGTGCCTGTTTTATAGCCACCCGTGAGCCAGAAGCAGTAGTCATTAAATTTTTGTGTAAAGGGGTGAAAAGCAATGTTATCACAACATCAGTGGCACACCTTGCCATTTCCGTTGGGGTAGCAGTCTTGCCTTTTCTGTAAACTCCATTGGAAGGAAGGAGGGTGGATTCGAGCAAGCCTCGTACTGTGCAAGGCTAGACGATGGACCACAACGGATGCATCTCATGCGCCAATCGTCGGTGCATTTGCCCCAAAGCAGTAATTTTCTTTATTCACTCCTATTTCTCATTTCAATACTGCCCAGCCATTTACTTTATAGCTACTTGAGACTGAAAGAGCACACATTCGTTCACGTAATTAACAAATCGCTATATAAGTCCTGCAGCCAGCCCCATAAATGGAGGTTTTAGAGTCAATCCAGTGTAGTATCCCTTCCCTTTTTGATGTCCTTCACGCAAAACACGCGGCTTTGACAGTCCTTTTACTATGAGTCGCCGCAGATTCCTTTCGTGACGTTAAGTCTTGGCACCCGACCGGAGGAATTGGAATGATTGTCCTTTTGGATCAGAGCTGGGTGGCAGCAGATGTAGCCTTTCGGTAATTCTAGTTTCAAAATACAAGCACAAATCTGAGCCCGCGTAGAAAAAGGCATGAACATTATTTGTTTCAATCGTGACAAAAAATGTCTGCATATATTATTACTCATATAATATTACATACCCTTAATTCGTCCATGCATTAGTGGATATTAAGTTAGCAACGCCTTGCCAAAGACATTAAATCTCAACTTCAAAGTGTAAGACACGCAAGCGTTTGGTAATTAGTTGCCCTAGCGATAACGATGTTTATGATTTATAAGAGTAAATTCCAAAAGCAAACATTATTACAGAATGTAGAAGGATAATTTCAGCCTCCAGAACCCATTTATAATTCAACCACTGATTAATAATAATTTTCCACGTAAAAAATCCCAAGTTTAAAGGAAGCCGATTTGTCAAGGCAGCATTTAAACAAAGAATTTCGTAAGAGCGTATCCACTTGAAAAGCGAGCAGCTTGTTTCACTTTCTTGCCATAAATTACTGTTAATTTAATAAAAGGATTAAATTTTCACCTTGCCAACTTAACCCTAATTAATATCTGACTTTTATAACTTTACATCAATGGATCTAGTTGGTCTATGTAATCATCGTGACCCAAAAATAACATTTAGAGGATTAAAAAATCTTCTAGCCACCCACCTTATAAAAATACCTGAAAACAGTCCAGAATGATTCATCAATTTTAGCGGCCTAAAATTTTCTCAGCCAAAAAACCCCACCGGAGGAGACTAAATCTGCACTTTTTTTAGGGAGCCCAGGGGCACATCTTGAATTTTTTACACCCCGAACAGCAACGTTGGTAAAAAACGATTACCTTCTGCGACAATTGCAATTCATCACGCAGAGGGAAATTCAGCACGCTAGCTAATCAGAATAACTTTAGACTTAATCTGGCACCTTGACTAAAATCAACCTCTATGCTTAGTCTCAAACAAAAAAATTTGTTCGTACATCCACCAGAGGATGTCAGGAAACCGATATCACTGATACAACCAACTGATGCGTGGTATTGGCCAATAAGAAGCGCGCGCGAGTCCGGTAGACCAATCCAGACCAAGACAAGACCGCTCGCCTCCGACCAATAGACGCGACGCGCACACACCAGAGGCGTGAATAAACACCTCCTACGTGAAACAGACGGGAGTAGAAGTGCACAATGGAGCGGCAGATATGCGACTACCATCCAGCCACAATGGCTGAGATGGTTATGATGCAGCAGTATATGAGTAGTCACCAGAATTACTGGAGTTCTCCTATGCCACACGAGGCAAACAGCGTTATCTACCCTGGATTTCCGCTAGATCCCTATGGGGATTGTGCATCACCAATTTTTAAACCACCCGCTTATTCCAATACTGTCTACGCACCACCAGATACAATGCTTGCCTTCTCGTCTGATCATTATGGGTTCAAAGCTATTGATGACAAGGCCAACTCGGATGTTTTTCAGAAGGCACTACCCTCAAGTGAGTTTGATTGGACTTTATAACTTTGGCATTGCGATAAGACGTATATAATCTCTGTTTTCCATCCCCTTCTCGTCTCCTCCCTTCCCTTCACTCCTCTTTTTACAGGAACTAAAACAAAAATCCACCTATCTTCTGTTTATTCAGCTCCCTGCCGAGACATGAAACACGGAGGTCACACTCATTAGCGATTTAGACATTAGGCAAACATTGAACCTTGAGATGTATGGTTAAGCTAACAGGCTGTTAGTCGCTGAGTGGAAGAGCGATTTTCGTGACTGCATCGCACTTTCACTTTCCCTCTCGCTTCTTGCTCGGCTTTTGCTTTTCACTCGTGAGATAAGAAAAAGCCGCAGAAGTGTGAGGCAATGAGCAAATGCTTTGCACTGCCTTGGGAGAAAAATTCTTTACAATTTCTCAATAATTCTGATGTGATGACACTCGTAAAATGCGCACAGTTAAATGCCCAGTTTTGCAGGTAGGAGAGAATTCGACTTTGGTTCCTAGCCAACTGGCACCACCTCTCTTCTGGTGTGACTTTTACTGGCTGTGAAACCGTTTTACCTTCTGAAATGCTCTAATAAATAAAAGATCTTTTAAATATGACCTCAACAGTTTGGAGGACGAATGAAGGCACCTAATTTTTTAGCAGTGGATAAACTGACCCATTCGATGGTGATTCGTTCTACTCCGAGACTCTGGAATGGAACTGGCTAGCAGAGGATGACATGACAATGCGGAATACTGACGAGCCGATAACGGATCTACGAAAGACACCAAAATGCTTCACTTTTGGGAGTCGGATTGTACAAACATTTAGGGCGTCGTTGGCTTGTTTAACAATCAATTCCGATAAAAATGTCTCCACCATAAAAATCCCAAAAATGAATTTGCAATGGCTTTTGTGTAATGATAGTACAAGTGAGTAGGTGGGGTGGTAGGTAGATGGGTGGGGAGGTAGCTAGATAGGTAGTTGGGCAATAAGCCATTTGTCTTTTATCCCCAGCCTTACACTTGGAGATGCATGCACGCGCGTGTGTACACACTCACATACACACACCCACACACATCCCCTAGAACCAGCGGCGATCGAATCCATAGATATCAGAACACACACACGCTGCGAGAGGCTTCCATAAATTCCCGCATCACCAGCGATACCATCTGTTATGGCAACTTTTGTGTGTTGGGAAGTAGCGGCGCTAGCAGCTGCTCGTAAAGCATCTCCTCCCTCCTCTCCCCCCCTCCCAAGCCCTCTACCCCTTATCCCAATCATTCCACTTATACTACTTGCAGAATTTTACTTGAAGCTCCCGTTATTATTCCTCGAACATTTACTGAATTCTAAAACCACAAACCGAACTTCAATGCCATGGAGAAGGGTAGTGTTCATCCTTGAAATGACAAATCGATTCGTTTGGGAAGTTAATAAGTAGGCTTGGAGAAGCTTCCACTCGATTGGCGTGTCATATTAAGATTTTAAGGAGAGATAATGTGACCACGACCACGTACGACGTGTTGTCGCCTCTCAAGACTCGCGCCGTCATCAGAACCACACTTGCACGTACACGCACCCGAGCAGGTCTAATCAGGCGATCGCAGTAACAACTGCACCCGCCGCAGCAGCATCAGCATTTATGGTTAATTTTCCTGTCGTGAATAGGCCGTCAAAGATGGCTATCTGGTCTGCTTTCCTGTCGATAGGGTATAGTACTAATCAATTTCTTGCTGGAAGGCCTTCCATCATCGCCATCTTGAACTCCTTAATCAACTGCCATTTAGTGAACTGTCTAAACTCAGAGGGCAAACCATGGAGTAGATACCATTTTAGTAACTGTCGAATGTGATGCTTATCCAGGCGGACTGTAGGATATTAACTGTTGGTAAAATGAATTGCTCCCTTTCATGAGTTCATGTTAATAGAAAATCTCCTGATTTTTGGGTTCCTTTACTTTAATCCAATGGTGAGAATAATGTCGTAGTGTTTGCTACACCGCTGTCATAATGAAACACTCACGGACACAAAAGTGGAGTACGGTGGAAAAAAAGAAGGCGAGATGGAGAGAGAGCGGGTAGGAAATAGCGTGACCCATGCGCTAGGCGACACGTACACAAACACGCACAGGCGAACAACTCGGCTGCCCGCATGACGAGTAATGCCAGACGATTGTCACTTAACCTGGTTGTACACTTAAGTAAACTCGTCTGATTAATGTGCACACTGAGATTGGGCGATACTGATGATATAATAGATGGTAGAAGAATGGTGGAAAAGCGAATTAAAAGCCAATTTGACAGGTGACAAGACATTTGGTCACATGACCAGCACTTTACCAATAACTGTAAATGGCTGTACGACTTATTGACCAGAGACTCTAAAGCAAGGGACATTAGCGCCAATAGTAACGAGTCGGTGGTTGTGCCTGTAAATGTGCGTGTATGTATGTGGGAGAGATCAGGTCAATTCTTCTGTGATTTGAGATTTACAGTGCAAGTAGGAGTGATCTGTGACAATAATCTGCTGCCTCCGAGAGTGGGTGTGATTTTGCCATTTTTGGATGCATTCATTCTGCTTGGGTTTACTGGTGAGGCAGAGGGGAGGTGGCAAGGGGCGGATGAATTGCGTGACGTTCTCACACACAAGCTCCCATGGGAAACCCGTCGTCCTTTTGCTTCAGCGCTCGCCGGCAGAAGACTGCTCGTTTGTGTGTGTGTGTGTGTGTGTGCACGCACACATGTGCTTTGACTGCCATCATCGCCTCGCCTCTCCTAGCCCTGTCTGGTCTGTTTTCAATTTTCTGTTATTTGACAAGGCGGTTGAAACGCTCCTCCATCATCATCATCACCACCAGCATCATCGGTGTACACTATCTCCTCATTGATAAAAAATGGTCTAACAAACAAAAAATTTAAAACTTATGCATTCTGTCCTTTTCTGATGGCAGAATTGGTCGGCCCGGCTCAGCAAGCTTTAATGGATTATCTGATTACGATCTGGCAATTCGTGGTCTGCGAATTATTAAACCATCTACTTCTCAACGCTTTGGTGGAATTAAATTTTTGAAGAAATACTTTTTACGTATTTCACCGAGCAAATATCAAACTTAAATATGTATTTTTCTGTGAAAACTTTGCTGAATCTTCCATTAGTGATTGCTGATGGCTTAAATAGGCTACAATCACCGAGATAGAAACGTCATTTCTTCACTAGTAGTTATGCCGTACAGACACGAAAAATTCTAAATGTTATGAAATATATACAGGCACGCACTTGAAATGAAGCCCACCCTGATTTAATGTACAGCATTAAAATATTTCACTAATTGTTAAGGTGACCTTGAGGGCACAAAAATTGCTGCAGGCGGTTATTATAAGTCTTGTAAACCAGTAAATAAATTACCCTTTTGAACTTTGATAAGGTTTAAAATAATAAGGCACTCTTAGACCTTCTCTTATAATTTTGGCTGGTAATAATACAATTTTTTCTCTCAAATTCGCGATTAATCAAGGAAATGTTAAAAACATGCATTTGAAAAGACAGCAATCTAGTGGGATAATTTGTTTGACCATCATCGAGACTTTTGATTATTCTGGCTCACTTCAAATTAAAAAAGCCACATATGGCAGCTCTTCTGCTCTCCTCTCTTCCAACTCGCCCTTCCCATGTTACCTTCCAACAGTACACTTTGTCTGAGTTATTAATCCTAACTCTACGGTAGTACGAACAATGCGTTACGCTGGTGGTGCTTGCACGAGGTGAGCTAGGCATAGAAAGGAGGGGGGAGTTGGCTGAAAGGTGCTGCGGTCTCTATTGCTGCTTCTGGAATTGCGAGCTTGCGTGAGTAGGCAACATCAAAGCACAGACCCCGAACACTACGTCAGAATACAAGTTGAAGTGGTGTAAATTTTGTACTCTCTTGGCTGCATTTCTGTGGTCACGCTCACTTATAGCACCACATAAAGGCAATTTTCAAAGAGAGTTCAGTTTGAGGGTACACTTTTACTCCATTGCAGTGTTTGCTTGGTAAAATTCTCTTCTTTTGAGATTTGTCTAACACATCGCCATAAGGACATTAGAGAAAAATCAACTACCCCATCGTACGTGTCACCCATATGTGACACCAATACGAAACGCTTGGACAAAATGGCAATTCTTATACTGTAACAATTCCAGCAATAAAGTAATTTAGCACAAGGCAAACGGGAATCGCGGCAATGTCAAGCTTGTCGCAAAGCTAGGTAAGATAGGTTATACCTTGTCAAGTTTTTGAAAAAGCGAGTTGATAGTGTGTAATATCTGTAGACTTCCTACACTTTTTTGAATAAATTAGTATAAAGGGGATAATAAATTTTACATCCCGAATGTCATTCTTGTGGTTAGATTTGTGATCATTTTTTTCTAAAAACTTACGCTCCCAATGTCACACATGTGTGACACGTGCCCATTAATTGTATATGATATCTGGTTGCATCAAGTTGGTAGTGACATTTAGATAAGGAGATTTCAAAGCCGAAAAAGAGGCGCAGAATCTTTTCGATTTGGGGAGATTTAAGGTATTTTGGATGGGATAAGTTGAACCGGTCAGTTAGGTGGTAGTGTGAGCGTTGCTGTCACACTCAAAATAATTCATCTGAGAGGCTGCACCAGTCGAATCGTTTCCAAGACAGATTCGAGTGGTAAATGTGGTAAAAAGAGTCTTTTTTGTAAAAAGTTGAACCAAGTAACCATTTCGGAATTTTGGACTGCCTAATTCTACTGAAAATGGACAATAACTTTGTTACCTCGGAGCGATCATGAGAATGACCGACATTTCCCCAATTAAACCGCAATCGTGTACATCTTCGCTTCGCATTTGCCTAAATGTTTGACATTCACTTGTTCAGTCACTTGCCTAATAAATTGGGATTAGAAGGCTGTTCCAAGATAGGGAACAATTGACCTTGGACCCATTTCATCACTTTTATTGAACTAAGTCGACTAAACCTCACGCAGAAGAGCCTTAGGGGTCTGAAGAGCAAGGCTTGATTAATTCCAGATTGTTTTGTCAGTAAGTAGAGAAGGAGAGAGAGAAATAGGG